GCTGAACTTCTTTTCCTCCACTTGCTTAGCGATGACCTCCAGAATGAGTTCCTCCGTTATCTTTGCAGGGATGGAGGTGAGGCTGACCGGCCTGTAGTTCCCTTATAGTAATACCTGGTTTAACTTGAAGGAATGATCAGTACATTGAAGTGTTCTGTTTTAATAGATTGTGATTTAAAAAGGCCTTAATGAGGGTGGATGAAGATACAAGGATGAGTCTGTTGCAATATGTAGACCAGTTTTAGAAAATGTAAATAAGAAGTAAAAAGAAATGACAGCTGCTAAAATGAAATAATCCAGCTTGCTTAGTGCCTTAAGCTCTTTGAAAAACTGCTCTCCGTTTTGATGTAAAAAAAAAATAAATTAATTTCTCTAATTTCACATAGCTGTCTTAACAAACACTTTAAGTATTTCTGATTTTCTTGATTTCAACAAAACTTAAAATACATTTTAGAATGTCCTGAAATTGGTTCTGAGCACTTCCAAGGATATCTTTGGAAAACTTGTAGAATGTCAGAATGATTTTGTTAATTAACTGTAGATTGTTACACCTGGTAATGTTTAGCTAGATTCTTCTTATGGTGAAGAAAAAGCTTTCAAAGACTTAATAAACTTTGGAGAAAGAGATCTCTGCTGTCACACTGCATTTGTCTTAACTTGTAATATTTTCTGAATAGCTTTGGGATGGCGTATGACTTCATTGACTCAGTTGGAAATGATGTCGATGTTGTGTCTGATTCAGAGGTACGTACAACATTCAAGTTCCATTATTTGAACCCTTATGCTGTATAAATACTGTCATGGTTTCTGTCATCTTTGTGCCTGTTGAGGAAAAGTAAAGATCCACTAGTGAAACACAAGCAGATCACCTAACTTTTGCTCTGTCATTTAAAGGAGTTGTGATCACCGAGTAAGAAATGCATAGATAATATCATATTTCCTGTGGATTTCTACAAATAATCATCAGCTAAAATATGCAGTTTAGTGAATGCGGCACCTCAGTCTTGCAATGGAGTTGTCTTGTGTGTTTGAAATTTGGTTATTTTGATGTAAATTATTACTCTCAAGATGTATTTTTCTACTCTTATCTAGAAGAGATAGCCCCCTTCTAACTTCCTTCTTCTTTGCTGTGATTTTTGCCGGCTTTTTTTGGTGCTGGTAATATCTGCAGAATTCGGATGAAGCTGTTCCGAAGAGAAAACATCTGCGTTTGATAGACTTTTAGTCAGACTTGGATCTCTGTCCAGATTACTCTCGGTATCTGACAGAGTATTGGTATTCATCTGGTGAAGACCAAAGTTCTAAATTTCAAACTATCTAGTTGCATTTTTTTGTTGTTTTTGATGATACTTGGTTGTGATGATCTGAAGAGAGATCAGGTTTAAACCATGTGTGTGGTTGATACTGATCACTTGGTCTCTTTCTCACTGTCATTCAGGTTCTCTGACCTCAACAAATGCAACTTCTTGCGAAATGGTTTTCCTAAAATCACTGGCATTGTAACGTTTTATTTGCCTACCCGTGCCTCTCCAGTGTTAGTAGTGTATTATTTGCTTACAATTTCCTGAGAATTGTCTTGCAAAGCAGTATAATTATATGGAATATGATCTCTGTTCTCTTTTCTTCTGCAAGAATATTAAAAAACTCCTGAAGATACCTTACAGCAAGTCCCATGTGAGCATGGCAGTACATCGCATTGGGCGGACTCTTTTGTTGGATGAGCTAGATATTCAAGAACTCTTCATGAGATCATCTCAGGTTAACCGTTTGTCTTTTGTTAACTGTGTTGTATGGTCAGAAGGCATTATTTCAAGAATAATGTAGCTAGCAAGAAAGCGTGTGTGTATCAAAATTCCTGAGACCAATATGCGAGTACAAAAGACACTGTATTCTGCAGCAATCTGTTTACCCACGAACTGCATGAGATGCCCCGTATTTATGGTATTGTAGGATTAGAATTGCATGTCCCAGATTCCTGTAATTACTTCAGTATTTCTATACTAGTTTATTAATTTTGTTATTGCTGTTTGTTATTGCGTAATCTCTTAGCAGGTATCTGACTTTCTAATCAGGTCAACTTTTCAGTGAGAATATAACTTCTCTAGAAGATACGTTGTCAATAAATGACCAATTCAGGGCTTTAGCTGTGAAGTTATTTTCTGCTTTTGGGGTTTGAGGGTTTTTTTGCTGTTGTGGAAGAGTATTCGTAAGTTAATAAGGCACTTGGTTTACTTTGTAGATGCTTCTTGACATTGATTTCCTATTTATGATATTGCCTAGACAGGGGACTGGACATGGCTGAAAGAGTTTTATCAAAGGCTGATTGATCAGAAGTGGCAACGAAAAAAGAAGAGTAAAGAACATTGGTACCAGAAGGCCATACTTTCTAAATTTTTGTATTACAGGTAACCTTATGTCTGCATGAATCTTGAATTCTGTACCCCTCGCTTTTGCCTGGTTTCTTGCCTTGAAGTAAATGTTAAAATTCCGTTATGGTCTGTCTTATTTACTGGTTTATACGTATGTAGAGAAAACTGAGGGATGAAATCAGGAAATCACATGTAAATGTTTTTAACAGGAATTGAAGCATTTGAAGTGTTAAAGTATAAAATAAACAGGGTGACTTAATTAATGGCATGTCTCAGTATTCCTTCTGAGAACTGGATTTGAGGGAAGAACAGTGTATAATATGCAAGGTAGATTGTGACACCTGCTGTAATATTGTACGAGCTTGAGCAACTTGTCAATATAGCAATCTTTTAGGGTATTAGCAAAGTTGTTCTTTGAGACCAGTGCATCAGATCTAACAATTCTGAAAAGGATTCTGTTTGCATATTGTCAACTGAAATTTTTAATGTTACGTTGTCAGCATTAATGGTGATGGAGCTGCTCAGCCTGTTCCTTCCACTTCAGAACAGCACCAAGAGGGTCCTGTTTCAGGTGAGAGTGATGAAGCAGGAAGGGCCTCCTGGCCAGCTCCTTTTGAAATGCCTTCTTCATTATCTGAAGATCCAGGTGGCTCTAACCAGGTTAGTGTATATGATGTTTTAAATAACACCTTAGTTCTTGCGGAGGCGTGTATATTGAAAGGTTTTCAGAGGTCCTGCTGCAGTACTCTGCGGAAAGAAACGAAGAAAGGCATTAGGAGGACTTGGCAGTACATGTGGTTTAGCTTATGCCAGTGTTTCAGAGCTCCAGATGTCAGAATTATCTTTTTCTGTCACCGTAATATTAAATACATATTTATCTATGCATTTTTGAGAAACAAAAGTTTGGCTAGGAGTAGTCATCAGTAACTTTACCAAAAAGTAGGAAAATCTGTTATTCAGAGAGTGTGTTTGGAAGCCTAAGCTTTTTGCCTTTTGGTTTTTTTTTTTTTTTTTTGAATCTGCTGTTAAAATCAATCTGTTGCGGCCTTGAATTTATTAGGTGAAGAGGAAGATGAAGATCTACGAACATGTTTGCAAAACAGTTACGCAACACTTACAAGTGCTTGCTATGAGATTACACAAGTGGAAGGCAGAGATGTTTATAGCAATTATACAGTAAACTATGATTAGTATTGGGCCCTAATCAGGGTTTCGGTCTGTGGCTAAGCTTATTTATGTAAACTGTTAATTCCTGTGGTTTTCTGAGTGATATAATACAGTAATTGATCAAATTTTTGAGAGGTCGTAAGATCTGTTGTACTCAAGTCTACAGTAATATAATAATGATGCTGTAGTTATGCTGAGACAGTATTACAAACTGGCATGCCAAATGACTGGGTCAGCTAACTTATGAAGGCTCTAACCTACTTTATCTATAAAAGTGTAACTGTGTGTGTTGTGGTGTACTAATATTCTAAAGTGGAGAAATATTTCGGTACTTGAAAGCTTTTAGAAAAAGAACTACTTCTCTTGTCTGCCTTCTTGAGGAACTGTTACCTAATACAACAGACTTTTGTCGTAAATGAGTTGTTGTCCACTTGTACAGCATCTTTTTCTTTAATTTACAAATAAGACATCAGGATAGAGGTTTTGCTTCCGGAGACTGATCATCTGGTGCTGACCCCTGGGGTAATAAAGTGTTTCTGTGAAACATTTCTGATTTCTTTCTGAAGCCTCTGAGAATAATAAAGTACAAAATTTTGGTAGTAGCTACAGATAAGAAGCATTCTAGTCACTGACTCAAGGCTTTTTGTGGTTTAATACTCATTGAAAGATGTTAGAGGTAAAGGTTTTTCCCTTGTATGCTTTTGTTGTTCAGATTTTTTTTTTAATGGCCTAACTTTACCTCAGCAGCAGAATCACTCCTTATCCTTGTGCTTTTCACAGGGAAGTGTGCCTCTTGAACCCTCATATATAGTGGGGCATGTGGCCTCAGCCCCCAAAGAACAAAACCTGACTACTTTGTTCAATGACGGGGAAAACAGTCAGGTATGCTATATGTGAAGTTTGAGCTCAAACACTGAACCCCCAATTTAATCAAACATTTTAAAATTTGGTCTAAAATGGAACCAAAAGCAAACCTAAGCTCCCCGTAGAAGTAGCTTTTGTGGCATCTGTGATCTCAGTCTTTTAAGTTAATGTGAATGCGTAGCATAGTTTATTCTGTGCTGTCTTTTATTTGCTGCTTTTGCTTCTTGCTTTCTCATAGTTCTGCAGAGTGTCATAGAGAACATGTTTTATAACAGTGATTTATAGACCCATTTTGTTCTTTTAATGAAGGGACTTAAAAATGACTTTGTTCGTAATATCTTATGGACCTTTGAAGATATCCACATGTTAGTAGGATCAAATATGCCTATATTTGGAGGGGGGAGATACCCTGCTGTGAGCTTGCGTCTCAGGTGAGTTTTGAAGTTGATAATATAGACATGCCAGCCAGGACTGACTTCTTGCTTTGCTTCCTGTTTAGCTACCTGTGTTTTGTTTGGAAATTAAGAGTAACTTTTACCTGCAGTTTAAAGAATAAAATTCATTCTTTCAACTTAAATGATGATGGCATTGTAAAGCACTGGAAAATGGGAACAGTCCCATAGCCATGCTGCTGCGCTGGGACTTGAGATGGTCGGCCGCTTTTTCTGGCTCTGTAACTAAATGTCTGTCTGAGAGCAGTGACGGCTTGCAACCTTTCCTGACTTCAGCGTGAACGTTGAGGGTTAAAACACTTCTGTATATCTAGTCCTTAATTTCATTCTATTGCCATTTTTGTAAAAGAGGGCAGTAATATTTCTCCTACTGGGATTCTGAATTTCAGTAACTGCTAGTTGGGCAGAAGTACTTAAAATTTGTGACTATAGCTGTTCTGAGCTCTGACTTGCTGTTCACTAACAGTTGATCGCTTGATTACCAGTCTTCTGTTCCCATCTGTGCATAGGCAAATAATGAGCAAAAACCGGAAACTCATTTGGTATATTTATCATCCTTTTAAGACACTGCTAGGAATGAACAGTACCTTGCTTTCCAAGGAATTTTGGAAGGTCTGGGAGAAGGTTTGCACTATAACTAGTTGCAGCTATTACTGCTATTCCTTTAGAACTTCCTGAGTACTTGTTATCTTGGTAATAGTGTGACTTCTGAAGCTTGTTAAAGTTTCAGTAGGCAAAAGCTCAAAACTGCTGAGGGAACGTGAATGTATTTGGTGGGAGAGATCAGTACATCTGGTTTGTTTGATATAATTATTTGCTTGTTTCTTTATAGCAATTCACAAATAATTGTTTTAGTATCCATCCACTCTCAGGTGACACAAATATAAATCCCATTATATCCTTAATATTTTCTGAAGAGTAAATAAAGACTAAAGTAACACTGGAAATGTTTGGTTTTAGGGATAACAACAAGCCAATAAATGTGCTAACAGGAATTGACTATTGGTTGGACAACTTAATATGCAATGTACCCGAGCTTGTGATGTGCTTTCATGTTAATGGAATTGTTCAGGTAAGTCTGGCTCTTTGCATTATGCTTAGTTCATCCATTCTTCAGTTTCTGAAATGGCTCCAGTTGCAACAGCTCTCTTTCTAATCTTACTGTTCTGACAAAAAGATTATAAAAATCCTTTATTGCAGAATGAGGAGCATCTACACAGCTTGGAAGAGTCATCCAAAAATAATGTTCTCTCTTTTTTTTTTTTTTTTTTCTTTCCCTTCCATGCATGCAAGATTCCTTCTTCCCCCAATGTGTGAATGAAGGCAAAAATTAAAAATGTAGCAGCAGAAATACATCAGTTTCTTGCATCTTAAAATCTGTAGTGTTCGCTTCCCAACACAGATGTGTGCTTTTAAATATTTTTGTTTGCATTTACAATAGACCACACATACCAGCTGAGTTTCTGTTGGCACCAACTGCATGCTACCGGGTGCTAGGCTGACTAGGTGTCACTGAAGTAATACTTAGATGTTGCACCTTCTCCACTTTCCCACCTCTTTCTCTCTGTTTACTTCCCCAGGTTTGTCATAGAAGTGAGTCCTCTTTCATTGAGTGGTGTAAGCAAGCAAGATGTGCTTGCTTTTAAAGTAAATTCTAGAAATTAACTTGATTTATCATGACTCTGTATCATAATAGTAGCCTTTGTTTCTTTTAGCAGTTGATAGAGACACTGATCTACAGATTTTTGGGGGTTAAGGGGCAGAAAACCCTCCTAATCTTGAGTTTTAACATATATTCCTTGCAGAAGTATGAAATGATTAAAACTGAAGATATTCCGAACTTGGAAAACTCTAATTTTTCTACCAAAGTGATAAAAGATATTGCTCAAAATATCTTATCTTTTCTGAAATCAAATTGCACCAAAGAAGGACATACTTATTGGCTATTTAAGGGTAAGCAGATTTAGATCAATTTAAAAATATTCATGTTACGTGTTATGTTGATTAATGAAAGGTCTTAACTTTCAGCAAGTGGGAGTGATATAGTAAAGCTCTACGACCTAACCACCCTTTGTGAAGAGACAGAAGACAAATACCAAAACCCTTTTACAATGCCAGTGGCAATTCTTCTATACAAGTGAGTTTTCATAATTTTTGTTGTAATACTTGATTGTTGGTGTGGTTGTAGTTGTTAAGAATACAGATGAAAAATTATGATGAAATGAAAATGCATGAAATGAACATCTTTTTACACATAAGCTTGGTAAGCCTCAGTCCCACTAAATCAAAACAGACTTTCTCCTTTTCACCATTTCTTCATGTAAACTACACTCTTGCTGAGTAAGTCTTGTAGACCCATCATAAAGTTTGGGAGATCTATGTTTGCAGTAGTGCTCTTTAAAGCTTTTTTTCTTCTAGCACAAAGAAATTATCCAGGGATTTAGTGTTTTGTTTAACTTTCTTTCAGAGTTGCTTGCAATATGATGCTGAAGAAAAACCAGAACAAGAAACACTATGGCACTATCAGAACGTTGCTCCTGAATTGCCTTAAGTTACTGGACAATGGCAGACATCCTCAGGTAAGAATGACGTGTTTTCTTGTAGCTTTGTGTAGATGTAATGGAAATGCTATCATCGTAATGCACCTGGATATGTTTTGTGTGGTACTTCCTCCTCCCTCTGCAAGGGAGAGGATTTAAATTTATTTATAAACTTAGCAATTGATTTATGTTTAAAGAAACCCTAGGGGGTTTTTTTAATTAGTAACCTTCACTGACTTTCATTGCTACACAAGTCTTCTGTCCTGCTCTAAAAAGGAACTTTTCATTGTATTTGCTCTTTTGTTCTCATTTACAAAGAGCCCTTTTGTGTTTGGAAGCTGTACAGACACCAAAGCAGATCTTAGCTAGGCATTGTAAGATGTAAATATAAGAAAAAACATTTTTACTCTGAAGGTGGCTGAATGTTGGGAGGGGTCAAGCAGAGAGGTTATAGTGTCCATCCTTTGAGATAACTCAAAGCTTCACTGGACATGGTCCTGAGCAACCTGCTTTGAGCAAGGGGTTTGGGCTAGGCAGTCTCCAGAGGTCCCTGCCAGGCTCAGCTCTTCTGTGGTAGGTGGGAACCTCCAGAACCTCAAACTCTTGATCTGTTCATTAGACCATTGTATTGGCCACCGGTACCTTGATGATGCTCTGCACTTGTCAGAAGCAGTAAGAAAAGTAATGAAAAGATGAAGCTGTATTGACCTCCTTTATTTCAGATACTTGATTCTGGTTCTTTTCTGAGAAAAACAGGAATTGAGTTGCTCTGAAAGGGAAGTAATTGATTAAACATTAAGGAGGTGAAGAACGTGTATCTCTTGAGTATTACTGCTGCCAGATGTGCTAGCTTCCTTTCTAATTGCAGAAGATAATGGAGTGTGCTGCTTTCTCATTGGGATTTTGACTGAGGCTATTCACAACCTCCTCCTTGTCTTAAATTGAGAAATATGTAGGTTCATAATGGACTAAGGGAGTATCGATGTGTTTGACCAAAGAAAGAAACTGGGATACCGCAAAAGGCTTGGAGGGTGATGGGGCAGGAGCTGCTTTATTCAGGCTATGGTACACTAACATGGTAACTTGACATTTTCACTATTTATAGGCAACACATCATAAATTTCAAAAAGAAATATCTATACTGACACTTAAATCTGATCCAAAGATTAACTTAATTTACATGTAAGTGGTCTAGATTTAAGCTGTTTTCAACTGAAAATTGATCCCAAAAATGTGATGTGAAAAATCTGATTTGTATTTAAAATGGATTAACAAGAGGAGACATGGCTTATATAAACTGAATTAAGTGTTTTGCAGATTTCTTCTAAAGCTGTGGGAAGCTCTCAAAAGCCCACTAAAAGGTCTTAAAAGTTATTTTTTGCTTGCTTAAGATCCTTCTCTCCTCTGCCTCTTGTGATCTACATGCTTTTAGAACAGGTAATACTCCTTCTTTACCAGTTAGTTTTTATTCTTTTCTAAACTTCATCAGGCTTGAATCCTTTTCCTATATGGAATTTTGAACTTCATAAGGAACTTTTTAGTAGGGCAGGAGAGAGTGCTTATTTGAGTGGGTAATTGAATTCATACTCCTGCACAGTGATGGCCTCCTTTGCCTTCTCAGCAGTTGTATATCAGTTCAGAAAACAGCCTGGTAGAACAACTAATTTTCTGGGAATTTTTTTTTTTTTTTTTTTTCAACACCTCTGCAAAAAGCCCTCCAAAAATACACAAGAAGTGGTAGATGTTGTTTGGTTTGCAGTTCAGACAAATGTTTCATGCCAAAGGTTGCTGTTCTGGTGGAAAGGTACTTAGCATAGCTTACATGATATGGCAGTGCTACTGCGGAGAGCTTTTATCTCGGTTTCTCTCTGAATGGAATTGCTGGACTGTGTTCTGGTCCGGTCGCACTAGACTCCAGCAGAACCAAGAGCTAGAACGTGCCCTCGATTACCAGGACAGGAGCTGTAAGTAACCGTGCTGTCCCAAACGGAGGGCTCAGTGGCGTTAAATATGATCTCTTTTTTTGAACAGTCAGAAGTAGAGAGGATGTTGGGAAGCAGGAGGAGGGAATGTGGGCACAATTTGTGACTGATTTCTTAATTCCCCTCCCCAGCCACTCTGTTGCTATGTTTTAGAAATTACTCTTGACACTTTTTTTATATTCGGAATGTTCAGGAAATAGAATGCAGGAGTTGGTATCCCCAAGGTGAATTTCAGGAGAGTGAATTGCAAGTCCTGCACTTGACACTCACTTGCTGTTGAGGAAAAAGAGGCGTCGTGAAAGCAAGAGATTCAACTGTAGGAATATGTTGTAGACCTTACGCCCTGTGATAATCACTCTGTGTGCACATGAAGCAATAATGCAAGTCTCTTGGCAGTCAGAACCTTCTTAGGGTGCCTAGATCCAAAAGTTGAAGCCTGAAAAGTTGAAGCTGTTACTTAGTGTTTGGATACTCCTGGAGGTAGACAAGAGTTGGTAATTTAAGGTGCGATTGAAGCACTTGGTATAAAATTGTTCATTCCAATGCAGGGTCCAGGTGCCCAAAAGCAGGTCACTTTAAGGCATGTATGTGTATTTGGTGTGTTTGTGTGGGGTTTTTTTTTTAGACTGAATCTGATCCAAATTTCTTAGCAGATGACTCATCTCTTAGTGTTGAAATTCTTCATGACAGGAGTGTGAGAACTGTCTGAACAAGAGTTCAGTCTCCAAGTAAATTGAGGTAGAAAGAAAAGGGCGGAACATTGATTGTAAGGATTATTCTTGTGTTGTTCTCACTGGCTTAATTATTAGGTGTGTCAGTGGTTGCCAAATAACCTTTGCTCTAAGCACTTCGGCTCGTGAAGTTAGAGGGGAAAAAAGTGTGTGTATGTATGTGTGCCTATAGTGTGTGCACACACTTCTCATCTTGCTGTCTTAGTCTTTGATGTGAGCGTTGTGTGGTGCAGTCTGCTGCTGGCCTGGGCTGGCTTTCAGGCGTCCGTGTTCCTTCTCTTTGGAGTGGAACAGGGAGGGTTACAGAGCGACGTGCGCAGGGCTGCGTAGTAGTTAGGCAAGAAATGGGGTTGGACTTCTCTACGTCTTGCCTCACTGCTTTTTATTTCTGTGTAAAACCACACTGAAGGACGGGGGATTGCTGCTTGTTTTAGGCTATCACCAGCGTGCGTTGTATTTCTCCTGACTCACTGTATAGTTTTATTTGCTTTCTCACTATAAAAAGCAAGCTACAGTTACTGCTACAGGTATATGCTGTTTGTGCCCTGGTGCCCTGTTTGACCTCTGGAGTTTCAGTTTGAATCTCTTATTTATTGAGTTGTCAGTTCTGGTGGTTTTCTTGTTTTTGAGAAGTTGAAATTGATTTCTTCATGCTCTAAACTTTTAGTACTGTGAATGCTGCTGCTGCTGCTAAACGGTAGCTTTTAAATGCTTGTATCCAGTATCTCCTCCGTTGTCAATATGTTTTGAAACTCTGGCAGTGTGTAATGTTAAAGTACACGATGAATAAACTGAAGAAGCAGGAAGGAGTGAAATGCAGACCGCTTGATGCCTAGCCCTACCAGAACATAGCTTTCATTACTTCCTCATTTTTCTCCATGCAGCAGCAGTCTAGAGAAGAGAAAGGGTAAATACCTCCTTACCATCAACTAAGAAGATAGCTGCTGGTTTTTTTTTTTCTTATGGCAGATTTTACCTTTCTTGCCTGAAATAGAACAAAAGTGAAGAAGGTAGAAGCTTCTCTGGAATGCAGCTAGCTGCAGTTTGAGAGAATCCATAAAACTCAAAAGATGCTAATAAACAAGGAGTTTGTTAGGGTTGTGCTCAAAAGATGTAAATAGGGTGATGAAGAGATGCTCTTATTTATTTTTCTTTTAAACCAAACCCCCCAGACGAAAGCATCATGGGCTATGGTGGTCTATATTCCCAGTTTTTGCCTTTATGCTCTCACTTGCAAAACAAGAGGTGAAAACCTTGTAAGCTGGGGGTTAAAACCAAGGGTGGGCAAGCTTGATTGCAGGAGCTGTGTGCACATATGTGGATAGTTGATAAGATGCTGTCTCCAGCCATTTGCTTCTTAAATATTGATAAAAATCAGGGCTCAAAAGCATGGTCATACAGTGTGTGTGTATGTGTGTGTACAGGCTGTATTTACAGCTGATCAAATACCTACTTGCATGTACTGTTTATTCCTTATTTTAAGACAAACTGAATTGATGTTGCCTCTCAAAAAGAACATTTAACTTGAAAACAAATTAAATTTTTTTTTCTTATTTAAAAAGATTATTGCTTCAGCAAACTACATGTTATCAGAGCTTTTTCAGTTGGATGAACCTAAAAAAGAAGACAGTACGGACTTCCCTATAAATGGAAATTCTGATGAAAGCTATAGCGAGGAAGAAGAAGAAATGCCAGACAGTGATGAAAACGGTTCTTACAGTAACAGTTCTGATCCACCAGATGACAATAAAGCAGTGGCTATAATCAAATCCGTTGGAGAGTTATCAGTACCAGAAAAATACAAGTCTGTTCATCGAATACGTGTAAGTGAAGTTCTGGATTTTTTTAAGGGTTTTCTTGAAAGATTCGGTTCACGTGCAAGGTTTATTATTGAAAATTGGTTACCTGTTAGTTTTGTCTTCAGGTTAACTGAAGCATGAGGCAGTAGGGAAACAAAATTTTCATGAGCTGCTCATAAAATTTGAGGTCATTGAATTTTACAGTGTAGCACAGTTAATGTAGCTTTTCCTCTACCGTCTTGCACGTGTGGTTTATGGCATGAGTCTGCATGGCTGGCTAGAGGAAAATTATTCCTGTCATGGCAGCAGAGAAAACATTGCCAGCTGTGGCCATGTGTAAGAGCTGTAAATGACCACAAGTTTGTGTGGATACCTAGGTTTTTGTAGTGTGGTTGTTTTTTTTTTTTTTTCTGGAGTAATATTAACACTTGTGGCTTTCTCTGAGAGCATCAGCTACTTCATATCCACATAGTCTTTGATTTCCCTCTTTGATTTGTCTTTCCAAGGTAACTGGTCAGAATACAGCAATTTGATTTCCTTGAAATTTTGGTAATGGCTAATTTTAAAAGAGAGATGAAACTTTACTCTGCACATATGTGTGTGTTGTGTCAAAGGGGACAGCTGGGTGCATAGTCATAGTATTCCTGAAACTTCACTGACATACATGTGCTTAATCAACGAATTGGCAGAAGTGTAATATTGCTACCTTCATCGTGCTTTCTGTGCGTTATTATTGAAACAAAATAGAGGAATACGAGAAGCCACGAAGATCAGCGAGGAAACTGTTCATAGCATTTTACTTTTCTTCTGATGTTTTACTTGTCTTACCTGTATAGAGATATGGTTATGAAATGACTCTCACTGGTCAAAAGCTAAACCTTTTTTCTAACATCTGCGCTGAGTAGCAAAGAACAAGATTTCCTAAAAAAAATTTGTAACTCTTATTGCTATCTTAATTTCTAACACTTCAGGGTCCATCAGGTGAAAAATAAAACAACTTGTACAGGTGCAGAAGCATTCCATTTCCCGTTTCTTCTGCCCCTTCTACTCTACCCCAGAAGAACACAAAGTACAACCCCCCAAAAAACGCCCAAGACACTGAGTTGTTCAGAGGTGACAAAAGTGCAGCTCTGATGTATAGGCTGAAGAAAATATTTCTGCAGAGTATTTAATCTGCCTGTCTTCCTGGCTCTGCGTTGCCAACCAGCTGTGGATGCTTTTGTAATTCTTATTAGGGAATGGAGTTGTCTCATCTCTTCTCCTCTTTGCATTGTCTCTGGCATTACCAGGAGAGACCCAGTGTAGACGACTGGGTATGTGAATTGCTGTCTGGGATAAAGGAAAGAAATACTGCGATACTTTATTATAGAGTTCAGATGTTTCAGTAACAGGTTATCTTAGTGCTATCTCTTATTGGAAGAGAGATTTTTCCTGTGAGGAAAGGCTGGGCGAGCTGGGGCTGTTCAGCCTGGAGAAGAGCAGGCTCCGGGCAGACCTTATTGCAGCCTGCCAGTACTTGAAGCGGGCCTATATGCAAGATGGGGACAGGCTTTTTAGCAGGGCATGTAATGATAGCACAAGAGGTGATGGTTTTAAACTAAAAGAGGGGAGATTTAGGCTGGATATAAGGAAGACATTTTTTACAGTGAGGGTGGCGAGGCCCCATCCCTGGGAATATTCCAGGCCAGGTTGGACCGGGCTCTGAGCAACCTGGTCCAGCTGAAGATGTCCCTGCTCATGGCAGGGGAGGTTGCACTAGTTGGCATTTAAATGTCCCTTCCAGCGTAATCCATTCTATGATTTGCATCTTCTAGCCAGTAACTTTGACATTTTGTGTGTTGAACATTTATTCTCTTTTCATTGCTTCCCTGCTGCCCTGCTCCCTGAAGCCGAGCTGTGCGTTTCCCATCTGCCATGGCACTGAGGAGCGCTGCAGGCTAGTGCTCAGCTACGTCCTGGAGGTAACTTTATCATCAACTTTCTAATGACATTTCACCTAGTACCCAGTGCTTGGTGTCTTCTGTATGTGCTGAATAGTGCTTTCAGGGTGAATTAAATTATTTCTTCTTGCAGGGCTTGAAGTCTGTTGACAGCAGTGTTAAAAAAGAGGGTGACCTTCCTGCAGCTGACCCCAGCACACCAATCCCATTGAAATATGAAGATGAATCCACCAGTGGTGGTCCCGAGTGTCTGGAAAAACAGATGGCATTATTTTTAGACAAAAGTAAGTTGTATTGTTGTGCAAATAACACCTTCCCAGTGCCAACACAAACTGCTGCTACTTTATTTTGATTGTCAAAACAGTGTACTTCTAAGTCACCAATTACGCTATTGCCTAAGCAGAAGTAGTATACTGAAAATTGGAGAACAGTCTGTTTCTTTTTAAATATGAAAACAATAGCTCATCTGGGGTATTTTGCATATCAAAGCGTCTTTTATTAGTAAACACATAATGTTACTGGACCTTATTTAGATGTGAGTTGCCGATGACTTCCGTTAGGGCTTAGTATTTGGGGGTTTGGTGAGGGGGGGTGTTTTTAAAACAGTCTTCATTCTTTTTTTCTGACTTGGAAGTTTTGTGGAAGAACTTGCTTCTGGTAGGTTTTTCTCCTACATTATGCTTGCTGCTGAATTGCATATGAAACGTCGACTACGATTTTGTTTTCTTTCCTGTAACTCTACAATTGTGGAAGGAAGCAGCAAATAAAAGATGCTTTGTTTGCTTAAATACTCAAACTTCAGAAGGTTCAGACTGTAGTCTGTCTGTTTTCTTTTTATCTGGAATGCCATTAAATGGGATAGGAAAGACTCTTCTGAAAATTATAGAGTTCTCTGCAGGGTGAGAAGCCCTGTAAGCATGACCCAGCAAGAAATTTAAGCCTTGCATATTTTTACAGTTTTTCATTCTTTCCTTTCTCCTCCATTCCCTGTATGAAAATCTCTAAATAATAAGCCAGTTCTGTTTTGAGTTTTTCATTTAAGTGTTCTCACGTCTCTCTTCCAGTTTTATGATTGTCTCTTGAATGTCAGTGACCTGGAGACGTACGCATGCTTGCTTAGTTTTTACCAGACATGTGACCACAGAATTTTAACACCTCCATCAGAAAGTTACATTATGTTAGGCTTGCACGAATTCTGCACAGTCCTGTTAATATGGACTGTGAGACTAATTTTTACCATGATCTACTGAGAAACAGTAGATTTTATGCTGGTTTCGGCTCTCCTGCAGCCAGGCTCTATGTTCTGCCTTCACAATTTGGAACTGATGACACATTGCAGCTGCTTGCCAGCTGGCAAGGAGGGTGTCCACATGTGAACTTTTTCTGTTTAGAAACAAGTGTTTCCTGGGTGATGTGGGAAGTAAATATTGCACAGATCAGAAAAAAAATATTTTAGTTGACTTCTGGAGCTGTGCTGGAGTTCTTCCCTGAAGTAGCAATGGTGTTACTTGTTTGAGTTGTAAGGATTTAATTGTACCTAGAGACAAACAGTTCAAACAAAAGGGAGAAACTTTTGCTTCTCCAGTATGTGGGTTTGTTTTCTGTGATGCAAATTATGTCGTTTCTCTGCTACATGTGTATTTTTACATATAGAAAGGACAAGTGCTCCTAATTCTTGAAGAGAAGTACTTCTGAGTAGTATCTAGATACAGTATAGGTGTGATCAGTGTCTTTAACTGCATGAGATGTTGCTGTATCAGATTTGTCTTTGTCCTAACATAAACATGTAGTTCTTCTAGTACTTACTAAAGATAATGGGCTTGCAAGTCAGGCCTTGTAGGTCCACCTGTAAGCAAGAGACTCATTTTTGTATGCAAATGTTGTTAGGACAGAATCTGTCCTTTTGGTATGCCTGAAGTCAGTGGCCTGTTCTTTCTGGTTCCATAACCACTGCAGCATTGAAGGAGGAACCTGCATAATCTTATGCTGAGAATGTCTTGAAACTAGCGTGAGTGAGAAGGATGTTGGTTTTCCTTGTGGGAAGGACCAGGTTATCCAGTTTCTTCTGTGCTGGAGGCTAAACCCACGGATGGAGGCTTTTGCACTTTGAAACTGTTCATACAGGAACAGAGCATGTATCTAAGGGTTTGGTGGAGAACGTGACAAATTATGCCTGTGGCTTTCTTGTTTTTTTTCTACTGCAACCTAATGGAATAGTTTTGGCCACTGCATCCGCATTTCAGGAGCTGCTCAGAGCATGAGAGGGCAGCTGCATGGTCACTGTGCTCGCTGTATTTGAACACCTGGCCTTCAGGTGGAGTACATGGAAAAAGTTCCAAACAGCTGCATGGTCACTGTGCTCGCTGTATTCGAACACCTGGCCGTCAGGTGGAGTACATGGAAAAAGTTCCAAGTGTTGGGTGCTTTTTGCAGATGAAAAATGTAGTGGCAGACAAGTTGGCATAACTCTACTTGTGCAGAGCTGTAATGAGGCAATTTACATTCTGCCTGTATGCTGATGGACTTGTGTCTGACCTCAGGCATATGTTACGGAGATGAGATTTACTGATGAGGTTCTGCTTGTGTTACAGTGGGCTCGTTTCAGAAGGATAAGCATTCCAGTCAGTCGGGAATGATTCCTGGATCGTGGCAGTATAAAATGAAACTCCAGCTCATTCTGAAATCGTCAAAGGCTTATTACGTCCTATCTGATGCTGCTATGATTCTACAGAAATATGGGAGAGCGTTACGATACATCAAGCTGGCTTTACAGTGCCACGGTAAGTTGCTAGAAGGTATTTGTGATCTGTGCCATTGCCTGTATATACCTTTCACGATATCACACGCTTCTGTTGTGCATGATTTACCCTTGTGGCATGCAGTGGCAAGTGTGACTACCGGGTGTTTAGTTGAACTAGGTGTCCTAGCTCATTATTTTGGAGGGAAGTCTGGGGTAAGAATAACTCTCGTCTCTGTTTGGTAGAAAGGTGCTCCCATTTTGACGCAGTGGGAAACTTAGAGTGCAGATTTGGAGCTTCAGAGCACTGAAGTTGGGAGAGTCGGTGCTGGTGCCAAGCCCAAAACAGTGTTCTGTGGCCTAAGTGCTGTCGCTGCAGAGAGATGGTTTTTTCCCCTGGAAATGCCAGTTTCATTTAAATGTATTCCTGACTCTGAAATACCAAACTTGTTCATCGGCTGAATTGGATGCTCCCCTAACATTAAATATATCTTCCAAGTATTTCCAAGGAAAATGAAGGAAGTACAGTCAGGCTGTGTAGGATATTACTACAATAATGAGAATAAGTAATTGAAAAATGCTATTAGTACCATAGTGCTGCGATTTTGCTTCCCTGTTTGTAGGGCTTGGGGCAGGAGGAGGCTTATAGAGCAGGAACACTTGATCTTGACACAAAGCATCAATATGCTCATCGATAACACATTCTTCAGCTTTCAGCCTTTTAAAGGCTTGAGAATGAAGTTTAAACTGAGCCTTCTGGAAATTAATTTTTCAGGCTATATCTCACGAGTTATTTTGTGGAAAGTCAGTTTTCCTTTTGTCAAATGAGATTAGCATTTGTAATTACCAGATTCAGTGCACATATTGAACAACATAGTTGCTGTTTTGAAACTGTCAGCTGCGTAGAGCAACTGTGACTTTAGAATCTCTTAGTTCGTCTTAGAAGAACATGTGTTGTCTGCATGCAGAGAATGAGTGTGACAGGTAACATAAAAACCAATTATATTGTCAGTCTGCGTCAAACCTTTTGACGTTTAATTCTTTTCTTCCCTCTGCTCCCTCATCTGTGTAATTTTTTTTTTCCAAATAGATACCTACTGTTGTCTCTGCGCCAGCATGCTTCCTGAAGTAGTAGTATTTCTTTGTCAGTGTTTAACCCTTTGTGGAGATATCCAATTAATGCTTGCTCAAAATGCAAACAACAGAGCGGCATATCTGGAAGAATATAATTACCAGACAAAAGAAGATCAGGAAATATTACACAGTCTTCACAGAGAATCCAGGTGCCAAGGTATGATGCTGAGACAAGATAACTGCCATAATTCGGTTATATGACAGACATAAGTAATTTCATTGTGCTTCCTCCAAACCCCGCACCAGTATTATTTCTGGAGGAGGGTTTATTACGCTTCAGTTCTCTTTTCTTCAGAGCAAGCTTATTGTGCCTGTCACACGCAGGGAGGCTGTCAAGGTATTGTATGACTTGCCTGAAGCCGTAAAATAACTAAAGACTGTAATTGTTTAAGTAATGGGTAAATTTTGCTTTTCTGTAGAAGTTGTGGGACCATTCTGACATGGGTCTGATACTTAGTCTGGAGGGGAATGCCCAAAATGATGACCGTGGCAGATTTAAGTTTGTCTGGAAATACTGTTTGATATGCAGGCTTTGCGTTTTGTTTTCTAGTGTTTGCCTGGGCAACTGACTTGTCTACGGACTTGGAATGCCAACTTTCCGTCAGCTGTAAATGTTATGAAGCAGCACATGAAATTTTACTTTTCAGTAATTTAAAAAACCAAAATCCGGAGCAGCGTGTACAGGTACTAAAGAGGATGGGTAATATCAGGAACGAGATCGGAGTGTTTTACATGAACCAGGCGGCTGCGGTGCAGACTGAGAGAGTGGGCAAGTATTCTTTCTTCACTTTTTGCTATTTCACAGAGTTACAGTGATCACATTCACTAGCAGTGCGGGAAACCTTGAGTATTTCTGATTATAAGGAGTACATTTGAAGAACTTCAATGTCAGTTAGAAATATTTGGCTACAGTAGACTACTGTGTCTTGTACACTGTACTTAACTGAGCCTAAACTGAGTAATGGAATCTAGCTTTGCAGATTTTCTTTTAAAGTGTGTACAATGCCCTCAGAAACATGATGGAAAGTTGAAACCAACCCTGTGATAGAAGGGAGGGCATGTTGCTTGCTTGATGTGTTTGGTTTAGCTCAGTATGAACAAGCGTAAGCTTAATTTTGAACGTAAGAATAATTTCAGTCAGTCTATGAATTTTTGGTAAGTAAATCCTTGGAGGCTTTGCTTTCGGGATTTTTGGGGGTTTGTTTTGTTTTATGGGGGACTGGTGTTGTTTTTCTGGGGTTTTTTTGAGGAAATGGAGGTTGCATAAGCTTCCTTTTTGACAGTTTTTTTTTTTTTTTGAAAACAAAACCAGTAATGTCTCCTCTACAAGTAAGAGTTATATAAAACTAGAAGAAAATAGATGTTGGTGGCTTTTAGTTTTGTCATACTGTAAGTTTATAGAAGTAACTGCAGAACCCTGAATGTTACTGTGGGGAGAAAAAATACCTGTGTTTTATCCCATGAATTTCTCCTGTTTTTTGTGTGTCATGTTATCACAATTCTTTTGAAATATCGTATGTGTAATAGTGCACTCTAGGTATTACGACTGGGGTTTTCCTAAGGGTATTTTCTATGAATGGGGTCTCCAGAATCATTTACCACCCTTAAATTCTAAAAGGTCGTTTACGAGAAAAAGAACGTAATGGAAATGTTTGAGTGTCTTTTAAGAGTCTGAATAAGATGGTGAGCCTTGTGTCTTAACCCTAGTGAGTAAAACTGTATCGACGACGGAGCAGCAACTCTGGAAGAAAAGCTTCTCGTGCTTTGAAGAAGGAATTCAGAATTTTGAGGCGATTGATGATGCGACCAACGCCGCTCTCCTGCTGTGCAACACGGGGAGGCTGATGCGAATTTGCGCTCAAGCGCACTGTGCAACCGAAGGCAACTTCAAAAGAGAGTTTTCCCCAGAAGAGGCCCTGTATTATAATAAGGTAACACCATACTGTTCTTAGAATAGCCCATGCCCTAATATGCCTTTTGCTGTAGAATACTTGCAAATATCTTTGTAAGTATCTGTAAGTCTTGACGTAATAACTTGGGATACCTCTCCTGCTTTCATATCGTCCTAATCTGCACTGTATAAGCTTCAGTGTTGTTGAGGTTTGATTCCCTTGCTCTGATACATAAAGCGCTGTGATGTTCAGTAACAGACTGCAGTACCGCATGCAAGGGAGCTAGAAATGTGTGGTCAGCATTAAAATTATGACTGAAATGGGCATAAAGAAAATACTGAAGAAGACTCGGAGATTTTTGGAATGCTTCCTTGAGAATGAGTGAAGGGAAATTAAATTCTAGTTGCTATAAATACAGGCAGTAACTCTGTATGTGTATTATTCTGTCATTTGTAGGCTATTGACTACTACCTGAAGGCGTTAAGATCGCTAGGTAAGAGAGACGTGCATCCAGCTGTTTGGGATTCTGTGAACTGGGAGCTGTCTACTACGTATTTCACTATGGCAACTCTACAGCAGGATTATGCTCCATTGTCTAGAAAGGCTCAGGAACAGGTAATAAAGAGCGTTTATGACATCTTGGAAAAAAAAAAAAGCTCTTATCTTCCTGAAAAACTGAACAGTGAACAAAATTGATATTGGAATAGCTTCTAAACCTCTATTAGATTGCAAAACTTCTGTAAAGTATTTCCTGCAAACCATAAAATGTTTCGTCATTTGCTTTTTTAAAGATTTTGCCAAATGAAAAGATGGTGCCACAAACAGTGTTTTAGCCCTTGCGCTTGCACGTAGTAGTGTACTAGTTTCAAAGTAACCACCCTACATCTTTTTGTTTTATTTTGTAGATAGAGAAGGAAGTTAGTGAAGCCATGATGAAGTCCTTGAAATACTGTGATGTTGATACAGTGTCTGCCCGACAGCCTCTCTGCCAGTACCGGGCTGCGACCATCCACCACAGGCTTGCTTCCATGTACCACAGTTGCCTGAGAAACCAGGTATTAGTACAGACGGTTTTGTTCTTCTGCAGAGGTTCCATGTGTCTCCAGCGTGTGCGCAGAGTGATATTTATCCTTCTACCTGTAGCTGGGATATAGTTATCTAAACAATTTAACCGAAGAACTGTGAGGTGGTTTGTTTGCAAATCATTGTGAAATATAATCTTACTTTGAAGAGCAGCCTGTCCTTTATAGACTATATTGAGCTTTATGGCTCTGTCTGTTCTAAGTAGCTCTCACAACAGAAGCTGTTGATGATAAATGTTTTCTTTGGCTTGGGTTTGCATCCAGGCCACCCTTCTGCTACTTCAGCAGCCAGGCTTCTGTTAGAGCATTAGCACAGGATGTATTAAAGCCTTAGTGCAGACGTGCGTATCGCTTTCTGATTTTTTTTTTTCCCAAATTATTATTCTTTATGGTTAACTTGGTTCTACTTGGTGTGAATTTGTTAGCATTAGCTGTGAGGGCTACGAGGATGGTGAGGGGACTGGAGCATCTCCCCTACGAGGAGAGGTTGAGGGAACTGGTCTTGTTCAGCCTGAAGAAGAGAAGGCTGCGAGGGGACCTTATAAATGCCTACAAATATCTGAAGGGTGGGTGTCAGGAGGATGGGGCCAAGCTCTTTTCAGTGGTGCCCAGTGACAGGACAAGGGGCAATGGGCACAAACTGAGGCACAGGAAGCTCCATCTGAACATGAGGAAGAACTTCTTCCCTCTGAGGGTGACGGAGCACTGGAACAGGCTGCCCAGGGAGGTTGTGGAGTCTCCTTCTCTGGAGATATTCAAGACCCGCCTGGACAAGGCCCTGTGCAGCCTGCTCTGGGTGACCCTGCTGCGGCAGGGGGGTTGGACTAGATGACCCACAGAGGTCCCTTCCAACCCCTACTATTCTGTGATTCTGTGATTCTGTGAAATTGCAGTAGTTTCCAAGACGGCAGGCTGGTGATGTGTTCTAGAACCGTGCAGGCATTCAGATGAACCATTATGAAATGAGCTGGGGAACAATTGTTGGTACCTCCTCTGCCAACGCATGCAGGTTTTTTTCTAATGTTTTCCTCATGAACATACGAAGTGCCTGGGGTTTACGATGTGCCCTACTTTGAGCGCAGGTTGGTGATGAACATTTGAGGAAACAGCACCGAGTACTTGCTGATCTTCATTATAGCAAAGCAGTACGACTCTTCCAACTCCTGAAGGACGCGCCCTGCGAGTTCCTTCGTGTGCAGCTGGAAAGAGTGGCGTTTGCAGAATTCCAGATGGCGAGTAAGTCTGGCTCTGTGTTACTGCAACAGCTTTCCAAACTACCATGACCTATTTAATTTAATTTTCAGATAACTTTGTATGTGAGAGCAGGAGTAATCTGCTTCTTGGAGCAGAATTTTCTTTGAGAGAATAGACATTTTTATCTTACTGATTTTCAATTGACCAGGAACAGCATGTGCTTTGCTTGTGAGCAGTCTTGAAATCTTTGGATGGAAGAAAAAGTGCAATCCATAACACAAGCTGTCTGTCCTGTATTTTGACTTTTTTCTTTTTTTTTTTTTTTTTTTTTTTTTTTTTTTTAGAAGTGCTGGGAAATTAAAGACTTTGTTCGGGGCCCTAGATATCATGGTGAAGACCAAGGGTGCGTTTCAGCTCATCGGAAAGGAGCTTGTGGCAGAAAGCGAACAGGTAATCGGAAAAGCGGTGTGGTTGTCTGCTGCCTTGGATCGCTTGCATTCACGTAGAACTGGTCATTTGGCAGTGATGGTACTGGTACTGCTTGGTTGCTTTTCAGTAGAGCTAGTTGGTTAGATAGGTTGAAACCCTGTCCACCCTATTGCAGTTCACTTTTAGCCTTTCAGTGGATTTAAATAAAAAAAAATAGAGCAAACCTTTCATCCAGAAGTGGACTAAAACCTGTTTGTATATGGATGTATGTGGAGTGACTGAGTGAGTGGGGTTCTGTGCAACCCCATTTTTCCTTAAAAGTCATCTTAACTTAAGAATGTGTGTACAGTATAAACGGGAATTCTCTCTGTGTAGTATACTTGATATTGAAATGTTAAATTGTGGAAGGTTATCTGTAGCCAGGGTTAATAGGTTCTTGATGCCTAAATAAAGAATTACTTGCATTATGTGCCGACGTGTGTTCATCCCGTGCTGGCAACTTGAGCAACAGATTCAGTAGTCAAGTCCACATTCCCCTGATATTTTCATAACTAAATACTCCAACATATATGTACAACATATGCAATCTGCATAATTTGTGCACGGTGTGGATTTGAGCCAGCTACTGAAGCCTTGTAAACAGGGTGCAGCGCGGCTGTGACATCGGCGCCGCTCCTGGGAAGAGTGCGCTCGCCGGCAAGCGTGGCTGTCGCCGTAACCCTGCCGCGGTGGCATTCAATGAAGTGGCTTCTGTTGTCTCTCTTCTTGCAGATAAGCCAGGGTGAAAGCACTGCTGAGAACATGCCACCCAGTGATTCCTCTGCTGGCCTTAACAAAGAAGAAGTGTTGAAACTGCTTGGTATTTTTGAGTCCAGAATGTCATTCCTTCTCCTCCAATCCATTAAATTGTTAACTTCAACCAAAAAAAAAATTGGGTGAGTTGAACCTTGGTCTGTGCATGTAGGTGTGATTCTCATCCATAAATACGTACAAACTACATGCTCCTAAGTGTGCAAGGAGGTGTGATATTTGTTCTTTTATATTGGTGACTCTTCTGTGGGGAGAAGGAGCGGAGATAACACCTGGATCATCTAAACTTTGAGCATTTTCTGTGGTTCTGTGTGTAGTTGAGGGAATGACCAAGAAACATCTTTACTGAGTGTGTCTGGGCAGCGTTTTTGTCTCCTCTTTCCTGATAGCAGTCCAGGACTGAGCAGGGACAAAAAAAAGCCAGGCTGGGATGGCTCTGTTCACACAGGAGAACAGAAGTTCGTAATCGCCGTCTGAAAAGCACGGTACAGTTCTGAATCACTGATGCTTTATCGTGCTCTGCGATACCTAACTTACCCTTCAGAGGGTATAAATCCTATGTCCTTCATGGGTATTAATGCACACACAAAGCAGTTTCACTTGTACTGCTGTAGTTTTGCTGGCATGCTTCCCACTTTTTTTTTAACTGAATGGTTTGTTCGGAGAAGGAGGTACAGGTATGTGATGTCTTGTGTCTTAACAGACGTTGGGTCTTCATCTGTGACAGAGCATCTGAACGTTAATGGGGGAGAAAGTCCTGCATACTGCTGATCTTTTGACACGTCTTGATGATGAAACATACCAGTGACAGCATAGTTTAGCAAGCAAAATATTTCAGAATAGATGCAGGGACGTCAGTAATGCTGTAAATAGAGAGGGATGCACGTGGGGAAGGTGCTGGGGTTAAAGAACTCTCTAACACCTCGTGGAATGCAGTGAGAAAATAATCTTCTGCCTTGCTGCTGGGATGCAGAGTAAATGTGGCTTCTCCTTTTTCCGTTGACCTTGAAGCGTTGTTGGGATTCGGTGCGGCAGCGCAGTTCCTTACACGGCGGCTGCTGCTGGTTAGATCTGAATGCGCGTGGTGGTGCTTGTGGGATCCAGAAGATACCCTCTATTCCCTCAGCAGCTAATGAGCGTGTCTGCAGAAGCTACAGCAGCACACTGTTGCTGTTTATAATGTTATATCAAGTTAATATACGAAACGGTGTCATTAGTTCTAGAGAATTCTTTTATTGTTGGAAGCCGTGTCAGTAGTTTTTTCCGATGGAAGCACTGCTGATGCCAAGTGCTATTTTGCTAAAAGTCAGCTGTGAAAGGAATTCATTCTGCGCAGTAAGAGGTCTTATAGTAGGAGACTGGTAAATAGAAAAATGTGAGACGAGAAGAAAGCCGTGTGCTGTCTCAGCCAGGGCTTAGGTGTGTTGTTCGGTGCTTTCGCTCTGTAGAGAAGAGCTTCCACAAGGTGGCAATCCGAATATGGGAAATGTGGAGGACTGAAGCAGCATTCGTATGTGACCAAGTAGATACCCATATTACAAGATAACAGAACTAAAACAAATGTACTCGGTTACTTGGACAAGTGTTGTAAAAGAAAAAAAAATGTTTTAAAAAAAACAACCCAACACCTTCTTGTTTTGTGGGTTTTTTCTCCCCTGTTTACTGTCTCGTCACTGGCTCTCTTGAATGGGGTTGTGTACTGGAGATGCCATACAGGGAACGTGTTTCAGGGTGAACGTGGGGAAGTGGGAGCCTTGCTGCAACATGTTAAATTCGCTTCTTAAACAATGGTGGATTGAGGCTGAGCTTAAAACGTACCTTTTGCTTAACCTTCCTCGGTACCTTGCGCACAGCTTGCGTACGTGTCCTCGGTTCTGCTTTGTAGCAGGAGGTAATGTCCGCCTGCTTTAATAAGAGCCCGAAAAGGGTGGTAGTGGGAGCTCACAAATGCCGTTTCAGGGTCTCAGGCGCACTTTGGCAGAGAGCAGAGCATGTGGCGAAACCAACATTGGACAGAGAAACTTGCAGACCAGCAAGAAAACCGGATGAGATCAGAATTTTAGCCTCTAAAAGTGAAATGCATAAGCGTAACTGAACTTGGCTATGTAAATCGGAGGAAAGAAGTAATTGAAATTAATACTTTGTTCTGGGAATTCTTGTAACTTATCCTGGAAATACCTCTCATTTCAGTGACTTTTTACTAACTGCCTGTTCTGTTTAATACCTATACCTGTCTGATTTCTGCCAAGTGTTATGAATTTGGCTTGCTTCACCATTTCTTGGTAATTCCTGAAGCACTTGCCATTAGACTGACTGCTCCTTGCACACAGACAACAATTTATTTATTTCATCAATGACAGCATTTTTTATTTTTATTTTTTTTCTAGTTTGGGTCACTTATTTATTAGTGTTGGATGTTAATGTAGCAGAGGAGGGGTGACAGCACTGACGCAGACGACCAGCACGTGTGTTGGAAGTGATTGACAGTATTTGTCAGATGGTGAACATGGGCGGGAGCGTAGGCTGCAGGCTGGCAGGAGAAGCTCTTTGCGCAGAGCTGTGTTGAGCACGGGGAGGTCTCTGTCGCAGGGAAGTAGGGCAGGCGTAGGGAGCTTGAGAGAACGAGGCCAGGTCAGACTGGCCTGGGACAAGGATGCCCATGGTGGTTTGGAGGGGCCGATGGCCGGGGAGCGAACGGCTCCTGGGCCTCTGGGTGTCCGCTGGCCTTTGGTGTGATCAGGTGGGATGCTGATGGAGACCAAAGCACAGGGTTTTGGCATGGAGACCTGGGTTTGGAGGGTTTGCAATGCGATTTGGGACGCTAAGTGAATGACACCTTAGAGCAGCCTGCCAGTACCTGGAGGGGCTACAGGAAGGATGGAGAGGGGCTTTTCACAAGGGGGTGCAGTGATAGGACAAGTGGGAATGGCTGTAAACTAAAAGAGGGCAGATTTAGATTAGATATCAGGAAGAAATTCTTCCCCATGAGGGTGGTGAGGCCCTGGCCCAGGCTGCCCAGAGAAGCTGTGGCTGCCCCCTCCCTGGCAGTGCTCAAGGCCAGGTTGGATGGAGCTCTGAGCACCCTGGTCTGGTGGAAGATGTCCCTGCTCATGGCAGGGGGGTTGGAACCAGATGAGCTTTAAGGTCTCTTCCAACCCAAACCTTTCTGTGATTCTAACACGGCCAGACGGGAGCTGAATACGGAGTGGAACGCTTTATCGCGCTGCCGCACAAACCACAGCCCTGGCTGCGCTGCTGGGGAATGGGAGGAGATGGGGACCGAGGGAACAAGGCGCCAGTTGGAACACCAGCCATGTGGCTTCGCAGGGGTAGTCATCAATCTTGATATTTAACCACTGTTTTGATAATTTCCAGAATAAAATACCGTGGTGGGGTTAATGCCTTGTATTATCTGCTTGCTTTTTAGGGGCGTTAACGAAAAAGAAGTTGTTCTTAAAACAAACAAGCAAGTTTACTCCCTGCTGTTGCGCGCAACTGCGAACAGAAGTACGACCCTGCTGGAACGAGTAGAGGTGATGGTGAGCTTACTGGAACAGCTGGCTGGAAGCAGCGAGGCTGGTAGCGGAGGAGCGCAGTGACCGGCAGGCTGCAGGGCAGCAGAAACAGTGCCTTGCTGCGCGGGGGGCAGGGCTGCTGCTTCCCACGTGGTCTCTGCGTTGGGTGGCGGTGGCAGTGTCGGCTCCCCGGTGCATCGGGGAGAGGACAGGGAGTCCTTTCTATCCTGCGATAGCTCTGCGGCGGTTCGCTCGCTGGCGTTTCTTTGAAATGCCAATTTGGGGTTCTGGAGAGAAATTTAACAGTTTTCTGATGTTGGAGAAAGTCACGATTTTTCTCCTACAGTTAGTGGGGTTGCAGTGATAGAAATGTCTGGCATCAAAATGTAATCTCACAGTTGCTCTGGTTTGACACTTAATGAAACGCACTTTGTAAGCAAGGCTTCGTGGGAGCACTTTAACTGGTAACATGCACGGCGAGGAGGTTTCTGCGGAGCGCGTGGCCGCGCGGGCGCTCTGTCTGCGGCAGGGGGGGGCCCCCGCCCCCACCCGGGGCC